GTTGCCGCCTCTGGTACCGTCTTCGTGACTATCTGGCAATATCGGCAATATAATGGCTAGATAGAGATGTCTAGAAAACAAAGGACTAATATTCGCTTAATGTTACCAAAACATCTGGTGCTAAGCGAGTCTTCTGGGTCGCGAGCATCCTATGTACATATATAATAAGCTGGCCATCGCGCCACCGGGAAATGTGAATCTAGAAATTCAAGGTCGGCTATATTGCAGAATTGGAAGAGTAACTGAAAATTATAAAAAGGACCCAGCGTTTAGTGGTGAAGTTTCGCCGAAAAAAAAGTTATCATTGTTCGCCGATGGCCTCGTCGTAGTAGTAGTGTACACCCACTATGCCGTCTGTAGAATTTTAATTGAAGGGCGAGCCCAGTAAAGAAAAAATTGCAGGCGTGCAATATGTACAGCAAATATCACATCACTATAATCCGGATTTTTCATACTGTACATTTCATGAACAATGAAAAAAAAATAACTTAGACCAATATCCGATTATGTAGGATATGCCAAGTTAAGTCGTCTGATTAACTTGGCATATTCAACATAATTGTAGTTGTTTTCTGCAGCTCGTCAATATTGCAAATGAGAAAAAGATCTTACCTTTCCATCAATATGCTGAGATGACACTTGTCCTACTAAGAAGTGCCCTAGCGGTAGGTGTTATCGTCTGTTAAAGTCATGAGTTTCCGTTATAAGATTATGCTTTATATGGCCGAGTTTGAAGCAAATGAGCTAACTGTTACTTAGAAAGCACCTTTGGTTTCAAAGGTTTTAAAAGCGTTGACCTAAATTGGATAATGTGAGTCGTGTAACATAAAATTTAAAAAGCACTCTTAAAAGCCCTTAAGGATAATGGCCCATTAGACAGGATGTCCCCTTTGAAGCAAAAGGAACCACTATTGTCAACTATACGTGTGTTCTCTTTTAGAGCTAAGGTTTTTGAAATTTTAGGGAATAATACACAAGGTATTTTTTTTTTAAATACAAAAGAGAAACTATTTTTATTGGTTCGTCGAACAGAGTAGATATATATTCTGTAGCAATCAAATAACATAAAAATTGAAATTCCAAACGGCTGCATCTGTAAGGTCAAGAACATTGTTAATGTTTACTTCGATTATGAAAATCAATTGACTTTTAAAGAGCTATTAAGCGATATCAATCGTACCGTATAGATTTTCAATTTGCTTATTATTTTAATGTAATTTTCTAGCTTGAAATATTAAAAGCCTCGATTTTGTCTGCCGGTACAGATACTACAGATACCTAAGCGATTCGAATGATTTCCTCGGCTAACTTTTTGCTTTGAGAAGTACTCGTCTAGTACTGAACACTCGCATGCTGTGACCTCAGCTGATGAAGACAGGACGACTCTCAAATTCCTCGGGGTCCGCTTTTCATCTAATCACAGCCGATCATTAATGTCCTGCGACAGACGGAAACACATATTCGGATACGGCCAATGGTGTCACTGAATCATTTGTTGATGCCCAGCTTTTTGGTCTGGCCAGTGCCAATGAGGTATGCAGAAAGGCTGTTGATGCAGGAACATCATAAGGAATTGGTGACCTTCGGTTTATTGCTCCCAGAAGCATTTAGTGCGAAGGTTTCGGAAAATAGGTCGTCGGCCGGGAACCTAATCAATTATGCACTACTAGCAGTGAAAACTGGCTTTGAGATTAAAGTAGTACTAAATTCTAGCAGGTCGCAAGCTTCTCGAAGAAATTAAGAACATATTCAAAAAAGCACGATCAACAATTTCGTTACGCTGTTATTTGGCTTACGAATGTATGTACACAGCTGCGTTTCCATGTTCATGATATCCCAGTAGCAGCAATTTAAAACGGACCGTACCATGCGTCGTCCGATTTAGCGCGGTGATACGCTCCGCGGGCTGTCACGCTCAGTAAATTGTATCGTGACGACAGTTAAATAGTGGGTATGCTACAAAGTTACCGTTCATTCAGCGACAGCTCATAGTAATCATCTTTTTTTTTTTTTTATAATAATTAGTAGTAATGACCATAGTGCAATTGCCATTAAACGCCTCTTTGTGCTGCTCGTGAGGGTAGACAGCGGACGTAAGTGATCGCGCGATGCGCCCAGAGTCACAGCGGACGCGTTTGGCAGCGTTCGATACTACAGGCCGTCTGGCTGAATCGTTTCGACGGAGCAGACGCACTAGGACCAATAGCTACTACAAGACGTATCATTGAAACCTGTGTGGCAGTCACAATAGTAATATATTTTCCATGAAGTTGAAACTAAGCCACCTTTACATTGAATATTGTCCCGCTTCACACACACACATCAAAGCGGGTACGGGTGAGCGGAAGAGATTCATGCAGTCGTTTAACAGAACAATAGAATGAAGCTAGCGACGTAGCTATCTGTTTCAACTGGTTTTTCAATATCCTGTTAATGTTCTTTATTCGATGTTCAGTTACTAATAACAATTCTCTCTTTTTTTTTAGGAGACTGCTAAATTCAATTTCTGGCCCGTTTCATAGGCAAAAAATTGATGCAGTACAAGAATTTTATCTATTCATTAACCTATACGTAAGCGTTCTGTGTTGCGAGGTACGACGCTGATTTCGCAGTGTCTTCGAAGATGGCGCTGTCGGCGATAGCCTAACTCTTCCTCAATGATTTTGAAACGCTTTTGACGATTAAAACTAAGCACCGATATTGAAGCGGCTCATAGTGATGCTTTTATAACAAGATTTCGAACACAGCTGGCCGGCTTCCGAAGTATTATAACAATTTAACTATTAAACATATAAAAGATTCATTGCAAAATGTCACATTTGATTACCTACATACGTATCGATATTACCGGCTTCATTAACTTAAGAGATGTAAGTGCCTATTTCAAAATGGCAGTGCGGCTCAACAGTGGCATCTGTTCCCTTTAGGCCGTGAATCCATAGCCGACAGTTGCACTGGCCGGCACCAGGCTACTATAAATATTTTTAGGCAATCAAATAATTACGTTGTAAATAAATAAATAAGTGCGACATTTTTGGAAATATGTCGTCCGCATCATATCGATCGGATATTAAAAAAAAAAAAAAAAAAAACAGCGGCCATAAAAAGAATCCCACCCGTACGGAAATATGAAATTTAGTGCCTCTGTTATGCGTACCTTACGTAATAAATATGTATATTGTTTAAGTTGATTTAACGTCAGAACTTGCTTTGACAGGAGGGCCCTAGAAAATAAAGGCTGACGAAGTTCGGACGCGCTGAATTATGGCGCAGAACACTTCTTCAATTTGATATACGGTAACAATATGAGCATCGCGATTTGACGTCCATCAGCAAGTTCATCTCATGAAAGGCACAGAAAACACGGACTGCCGTCCAACTTCGTAAGTACACTGATAAGTCGAAGTAGGCTAGCAGTTAGAAGGAAACGCTGTTGTATATTCTAAAATTAATGCTACCTTCGCTGTACACTTTTGCGAACAACTTAGGCTGTAAAAATGGCGGGTTTGTAAAATTTAACTAAACTGATTCTTCGTCTGTGTTCCGTCGTAAGCAGGCTTACCCGATAATTTCTTTCAAAGCCATCCTCTTTTTCGTATTCCTATGGCAGGAAAAGTCGGCTTTGAGTCAAGCAACGATCACAGGTCCCGACTTTGAGATGGAGACAATTTTTGGGATTTAATCTAGATATTGCCGAATCATACTGTAATAAACCGTATGTGGTATATTCCTTTGTATAGTGCGAAAAAAAAATTGTATATGAAAAGATCCTACGTAATGTGCGTGTATATGGACGGATAATACTCTTTGAAAATAACATTTCTATAGCGTTCGTTAGGGTGATTTTTGCCGAGCTTCCTATGGGCTACTTGATGTAAAATTTCAAATAGCAGTTCGTTAGCCTAAAACGCGGTGTAAAAGAAAATAGTTAGAGTTGACGAAGTTGGTTAACTGAAGAATACGCATTCAATGAAACAGATACATACCTAACTCACTACTACAGGTTACTTCGCATTAACGAATTATAGAACAGAAAGTATCGTCGTATTGGATGAACTTTCGGTGAATAACCCACGTTGCTCGGCGCTCGGTCATAGTGCGGCGGTCATCATGGAAAGGGGGGGGGGGGGGGTCGTCGTCGTCATCGTCGTCGTTACCCCTTCTATTTATGCTGCCAGAAATCGACATGTTTTAAAACGTACCGCAACTGTTCTAGAGTTCCCTATTGCAGCTCTGCAAGTCTATTAGATCTCAAAATATTTCGAAAATTGACAATATGCCTGGCGGAAGCTTTACAGTTGTATGAAACGTATTGAGTTTTAGCTCGTCGGGTAGAACATGCAATAAACAAAAAAAAAAAAACCCAAATTGTCGAGTACGAGAGGAAGCGCTACGACGACCGATTACACTTACTGTTTACTACTACTACTGCTTCTATTGAGCAACATAACTGACAAGTTTACCACCATAGGTTGGCAGTCAATTCTAATACATAGTATATCGTAATATGTAGATTTAACCGTTTTATAGGGTAATTGGTGGACAATATCTTGCGATGAATATTCTGCGAAGTACTAATAGTGAATAGACTGCGTCAATGAAACACTACGATAGTTCAAAGCTTCACAATTCTCGAGCTTTAGCAGATTTATAAGTCAAGCCGCCACAACCCGCATGAATGTCTGCTTGGCTTATTTGTATACTATGAAAATAAGCCGTATCGGAGTGGTTGTCGTCCACGACTTGGCACTGTCGGATTGAACTTGATGAAGTTCAATCAAGTTGGCAAACTTCGATTTTTAAAGAAAATTGGCCACTTGTTTAAGGTGTTATTGGAGGTCCAAAAAAAGTAGTTGCATCCGCTACTAACTCTGTAACGATAGATCAATAAATAAATATATATATATATATAAAAAATAAATGATCATAGCTGTAAGTATCTTCGTATTGGAGTATCAGTGTTGTACTATATTGCTCCCTATGTTTTTCGATCTCTAATTTTTAAATTCATTCGCATTAGTCCTGGCTGTAGGAACCACCAGGTCATTAAGCCCGCAGTTCTCTTAACCTAATCTGCGAGGATTTCGCTATCTCGTTGTGCCCAGGTCTGCCCTGTTCCTTCATGGGCCCTTTGTGGCCTTTCCAACATTCTCTGAAGATGCACGCACTTGCACACGTCAAATCCTCCAAACAGTTAAGCGTTGTTCCGCTGGCTCAGTTTTTTTTGCAGCAGCTTTTTTCAGTGCTGTGCATCCGATTAAGAATCAAAAGGTATAATTTTTCGTCCTTGCAAGCGTAGAGCACATATGTGCATCTGTTCGACTAGATAGGTACATATGTGCCTGCCACCACAAAAAAGTAGGTATACATATATGAGAATTATTCTTGAAATGAGCTAACGCGCTTATCGGTATATCTATTTGTGATTTTTGCATTTTGTTCACACACAGTTTCTCTGACCAACTGCCTTTGTTTGTCTCTCATAGTTCGCTCCTCATTCTGTTCTGTTCTGTTTAACACATTTATACTATCTACTTATAATTATGACCTATGTTAATTCCATTTGAAAAAAAAGTTAACGTAGACGTTACTTTTAACAATGGCAAAGTCGAGACTTCTATTAAGTAGAGCTGCTACTCTCATTCATTACTATCTTAAGCCTATATCGTAAAAGAAGCTTTAATAACGCTACGTCAATAACAGTATGTTCAGTCCTAACCTTCATGATTCTGGTGGCAGAACGGGCCTTCAACAAGCGGGAACATCATTTCTCCGTCTAATATTGGTCCATCCTAATGAGAATCAGAGATAATTAGCAATGTTTTATAATAAATTTTCGCATATAATGACCTCACAAGTGAGTGCTATTGGGCATATATTGTGCTTAAGATGCCACATATATGTGTGGCGCGTAAAATATATCTTGCCAGGACAATGTTTCCACGATAGGCTATTCTAGGCCAAGTAGAAGTCTGGGAAAAATATTGTTGAAATATGACTTCTTTTCTGCACTACCGGCTAATTACCGCGGTAGTTCATGTTCTGTCGTTATAGTGAAGCGAATATAATTAGGTATTTATCAACAGACCGTTGGACTACAAACAACCTGACGTTGTAAGCATTTTTTTTTTACTACTCTACTATAATATGTATTTCGTTGGGTCTACTTAGAAGAAGCTTCAGCCTTTAAAACGTTAGCCGTTATTACTAATAATAACGCTTAAAGACTGCTTTCGACCGATGCGGGGCATTGGATGACGCTGGTGTCGCTCATGCGTAAATTAGCGTGGCAAGGTTGAAGCAATTAAACTTTAAATTAAATTATAGAAAACATGCAATTAAATATAATTAGGTAGATAATACAATCTGAAAAAGTGAATTACATTTGTTTTTATTGTTTATGAAGAATTGTGTTGAATGTCTGCTTTAGGCGGCCGATGTTATTTTTAACGTTTATCATACTCTTTATGATGAGACTTATTCTTTAAGTCTCAGGTGCTAGCGCAATGATGACTAAATGAATTATCTACAGTTATATTTACGTAGTAAAATTTGTCTCTATCTACTGCTATTATAGATTGCTGAAGTCTATAATAGGTGTTCTTACGCGATGCATGTCTACCAACCTGGACCCTAAACTGATCAACTAAAAGTAGCACCTAAAATGTTTCGAACAAAATTTAGTAGACCCGTACGTTATCTTTTGTTTTTTTTTTTTTTTTTTTTTGCTTCCATTTCATCATTATCTTCTTCTGTCTTTTTCAAAAAGTTTATCGGCGAATTTACATCATAATAGACACCATGAACCATACAACTAGTGGTGCAATAAAAACGTGGCCGATCATCAAACGATAATACATGCCAATAGTCGGAAACTAGCGTGCGACAACCCATCCTGGGTATCACTGCTGCCATGTGTCACATCGCCGTCAATAGCGGAGGATGCAAATTCATTGTTGCCCAAGGAGTTGACAGGCCGTCGCGTCAATGCGCGTATGAACCCAGACGAGACAGGCCGGCCACGAAATAGGCCAAAAGATCGCAAAGGCAACTGGACCTGAGTGGATAAAGTCATCGAAGTCGGTACCGCGTGCGTCAGCTGTCATGCGACGGAAGTTCATTATACTTAATATTAAATTCTGTATGGCCTTGCTCTGTCCACAGCCGCTACGGCTCCAAATAGTGCATAGATCAAATCAAGCCTACAACAAAACAGCGCGGAGCTAAAGTTGCTACTCAGGCATAACACTTGTGTAATACCGGCCGTTGTTTACATTACGTACTCACAGAAGACTCCGGTGTAGATACATCGAGGCGATAAACAAGATACGTGCAATGTAAAAACTTTCTCATTTTTAAACAAAGTCAAATTAATCAAAATCGCTGTTATGATACATATGAAGAATATAGGATACGTTGGGAGGCTATATCATTCGGTTAGTAAGATATTTCTGTTTCAGCAAATTGAACATCATTTGAGGCAGCCTCCAAAACAATGGAACATAGAATTTTGATAAGTTTATTGAAAAAAGCCCGTAGTAACGCTAGCAAGGACTGATTCAGCCATTGGATTGTTTTAAAAGTTCGTTGGATAAAAATCACGGGGACCGGTGTTCATACAACGTTAGCTTTTTTTCTTTTTAACAAATAGCCGTCGCCTTTCTAATTCCTTCGGTCGCATGTGTTAGCTGCTTAGGGTCCGACAGAGCCCCATGAATCCAATATGTGTATTAATAAGACACGATGTCTTCTTAGAGGCTTCGCTGATGTTTGCAATGGCCGAGCTGAAGAAAACATATTATTGCACATAAATGCTACAAATATGGCTAGAGTGACTCATTAATGAATGTTTCAAATCTTATCTTAATAGGTCCTGTAAATCGAAGCATAAAACTACGTAGGCAGATTGAAAGCATATCGAAAGGAGAAACTCAAATAGATACGAACAACCACTACAAGAATCCGCTACGCAAAACTGTGTATCGTGTTTATAGAATCACGATTATTTACTGGCAAAGCAATTGCTAACAATTAGCTAAGCTTTGAGAAGGAAATTGTGTGTCTAGAGTTTTCGGTGATAACTATTTTGCAGTTTATCGAAAACGACAAGAGCCGGTTACGCAGTAGGTCGGTTTGGTCCAACTTGGCCAGCTTAGAATCCCAAGAATGACATCGCCGTTGAGTCTAGCCCGGAAGGGGCTTGTACATCAAGGCACGAACGAATTTGGGAATAAAAAGGAATGGGGCCAGGCAACAGTAGAAATTGTAAACGGTATGAAACATAATAGTGTTGGCCGTTGTCCAGGTGAGTGGTGCTCTGTGATTAGCCTCTATTCAGAGGTTTACAAAGACAGCAGGGAACAGGAAGGATGAGAGCTAGCGCACGCCGGATGCAGGAACCACGACAGAGGTTCCAGCGGCCCCGGGCCCCGGTGGTTTCGAAGGCCGCGGCCACAAACTGTCGCTAGCAGACCAGACGCAGAAACGGGAAGGACACGGCGGACAGAGATTATGTCAGAGGGGTCAAATCGACCTTCAGAAAGCAGATACGAGCAAGAAGCAAGGAAAGGCTCAAGGCCCAGCTAACTCAGTTTCATCATAGCATTCATGTACACAGCCATATATGCACGTGCAATACTAAAGCCAAAGGCCAGTCAGCTGTTTTGAATAGGTTTATAGGCTCAATGTAGTGATTTTTCCGCACTAAAAAATCGCCCAGGCTTGCAACTAGCGGCGGCATTGTCTTGACTAAACTGACAGCACTAGTTAAACAGAGGAAAACAACTGTCCTGCAGACCTATATTTACAAAGTTTGTAACCTATGTAAAGGTCGAAATTAGGTCGACTGATGCTAATATACATTAAGTATATTATAGAAGATACTTGCATGTCTAAATCTTTGTTCAGCGCACTGAATACCACAAACGAGGCACCCGGAGTCAGAAAAACTACTACGACACAAAATTAAGCCTCTTTAAATAACTAATTCGAATTTTTAGCTACAACTATCAAAAAGGTCCTTCTTTATGAACTATGGTAGGAAACCCCCTTAGTCAGCGCTATCACTGAAACCTTCGGATTACTCCGATGAAGTCGCGCACTATTTAGTGTGACCAACTCCCGGCTCTGCGCAATGCGCTACCGAGAACGGATTCAGAGAACAACGCTAATTTAAGCCCCGCCGGTGACGTGTACGGGATTACGTAGGTGAACGGTTTAGATTCATACACAGGGCACATACGGACTATTTTTGTTATATGTTGATTATACGATGATGGTTCGGTGGGTTAATAATAGGTTGTAATAATGTAACATAATGGTAGCACCTGAGGATGAAGATATGGCATGATTCAACCTTAATTCATTCAGTCATTCTAACCCTGATATGATCTATTCCGCAAATATGACTGTTGTTATTTGAACAGATATTACGTAGGACCGACAAAGTCGGCCTAAAGAGGTGATTGTATAACTATTTCGACCTTTAAAGTCGAAATATTAGTTAAGTCAGCAGGGTACATCAATAAAAGTTATACTGGACAACAGATAATTGTATTTCACCATAGAGTAAAAATGTGCACTAGAAAATTAAAATTGTAAGCATCTATCGTAGTATTTGTCCCATTTTTAACGGAGTTTAATGGACGCACATGCTACTTTAATTGAAAACTTAAACCCTAAAGAATGAAAACTTCGGCCACTATCCTTACAGAATACCATCGTGACACATGTTTGTTACGTTATAGTTCTTATAAATTATAATAAAAAAAAAAAAATGGAATTAATTAAAGCAATCCTAATTAGAATGGCGCCTTTGATAATTCTAACCGAATCAATAGATTTTATTATCATGCTAAACGAATTTGAACGTCTCAGACCATCGACCATGCCGTCGTTTCACTCAGGTAAAAGTCGTGTCCTAAGGGTTCAAATAAAAATTACGAAAAGGTAGGTTCATCATCGTCTTTGACATCAGGTAAACAGGACAAACACTTGACGCTCTAAGCGTATTTTTGATTCTGAAGCTACATGTTCTTTCCAACTGTATCATTATATTGATACATAAAAAAGAAGGGAGTCACATTCCTTTTCGTCAGAGTGAATTATAATATGAAGATGCTTAAGTAAACCGGTATGGTTGAATAGTGTTGCAATACAAACGTACCAGGGACTAGCCAATATTCAAGGCCAGCATTCTCTACAACTATATTCTCCTTTCGAAACACTCATATGGTAACGCGTATTAAGGACCAAATGGGGTCTCTCTGAGCTAATGGGTCAAAAAGTGAGCTTTAATCATCGAAAGCATCGGAGCTTGCTCCCTTAAAACGACGATACGAAAAAAAAAAATATCACTGTCGATAAAAATTACGAGGAACTAGTAAATTGTTTAGATAGGATATTTTTTGCTCGAATATAACTTCGACGTATGCGAAATTCAACAAACAAACTCGATTATCTTGAATGTTTCAAATACAATCCACGTTCTCATAGGCTTAGTAGGCCAATCTCACAATCACCCTTATTGAGGCACCCAACCAATATTTCTGCTAAATCGAGAATAATGTAACCTATCTATGATAAAATGACGGTAGCGAACAATTCGCAGCGAAACATTACGTAGAAGGCCATGCCCTGCCTGAGCTTGCTCGACCATGATCTATCAACCGTTTTTGCCGACGCTCCGGCTAGTTGATATGGCTACACGGATTTAATCGTTGGGTAAAGCAGGTCGCTAGAGATGCTTCACTTCTGTCGGGTTCCAGCTCGTATTGATAGAATATTTAAGATC